GGTAAGCCGTGGGCATTGATTCTGAGTACGCGCCGCCTGTCATACGTTTATACCTTCAATGTTCCGCTCGCAACCTCGTATTCCCACCCACCCACCCTCGTACCTTCATCCTATGCTCGCAACCTCGTATTCCCGCCCACCCACCCCCGTACCTTCTGTACCTTGGCTCTTGCTCCAACCTCGTATTCCCACCCACCCACCCTCGCAACCAATGCTTGGTTGGTAGAGCCATGGATCCATACATGCTTGCCTTCAACCGATATCTTGCACTTTGCATTTCCGTTTTGTGCATGGCAGGCAAAGTGCAACCAAGCGGTTCTCTACTTCGTTGCTGAGGCTCCCCCGAGGGAGATTAACTTCTGGCCTGAGCCGCAGGAGTTGAGGCAGCAACTCATCCGTACGTATCAGCTGGTGAACGTTTCTGAGGAAACGTTCAACCTTGTCATGAACTCTCACCCGGAACGGGAGAGGATTCTTAAAGACAAGGTCGGCGAGCGTCGGGGCAACCTCTTCACGCAGGTCAAGACGTGGGCACATGGGCCAGGCGGGTTCGTCAGGGAATCGAAGATTCCCATGCTGGCTGCTGAGAACATGGCGCCGGTGCAGCGCCGCAACGTCCAGCAGTGGCACCTTTTCTATTTCGATCGTAAGTACTCGGCTCGTTTTAACGTTGCATGCCCCGAGCACTTCCAGCCGTTTTTTCCTGAGATCCACATGTATTGTGCTTACATCGAGCTGATTTCTGTGCTTGCAGCCGTTTATGGCAGCAAGTGGCACTGCGATCCTGACACGGGGCGCCCGTTCGCCAACAAGGCGTTTGATATGGCGCTCTGCAAGGGACTTGGCGGTCGCAGGTGTAAGACGATGTTTGCCAAGATCCCAGTGGTGGCAACGATTTGCCATGTGGTGAGTTTGTTTCCCTTGCTTGTTTGTTTCCCTTGCCAACGATCCAGGTTTTGCTCGAGCACACCCTCTCTCTCTGTGCTCCCCATTCTGCTATGCACCTGTCCCTCACCGTCCTGATTTTTTCCAACACACCCTCTCTATCCCTGCTCCCCATTTTCCCATATATTTTCAAATGTACCCTGCAGGTTGAATGGCCCATGGCAAATGCGGGGAGCCGTGACACGCCTGCCCTAGATGGTAGTGACTCGAACAACAGGAGGGAAGTGCAGCTGAAAGTGGGGGTGATTATTGATTGGATTAAGGATAGGTTATCCCGTGGGGATAATATCTATCGCGACACTGCCCCTGCAGGCTTTCAGATGGGAGCAAACCCGTTAGTGCGTATTGTGATCGCAGGGTTTGAGGACGAGTTTGCTGGGTTGCTGCCAGGAACCCTGGTTTTCTAATTGTAGTTTTGCTGCTCTAATGTATGCTCAAATTTTGTACAGTAATTTGATAATCACATTGTTTTTTATTACTATTATTAGGGTGCTATCATTAATTAATGATTGGGTGTTTTCAGGAAGTTCAGGCCTAGTTATGGTGGCTTTTGAATGACTGTAAACAAGGACAATTTGCCTTTTTTTATCAGAACTAGAAACAACTGTGAATGGCACTCTGGTTCACTGCCATCTCAACCCCAGTAAGTGGAGAACTCTGACCCCGGCGCCATGCTGATTTACAGCCAATAAGGGCCATCCCCGGTAATTAACGGTCCGGCAATTATCGACCCGGAAACGGCTAAAGTCTGCCTTATTTACAGCCGGGCAATTATTGGGCATAAATACATTGTTTACAACCAAAGTATGGATGTTAACGCCCGGAAATAGACCCGACATTTTTGAGATGACGACTGCCTGCTGTACTGCTCATGTGTTTGATTCTCTGCTACGTGCCCCTTGCCTTCCTGTACTGCTCCTTGTTGTCTCCCCAAGATCACGCACCTCCCTCCTCCCACACGCCCCTCCCGGCCGCACCGTCCCTTCCCCTCCCTTCCCCCATCTTCCCTCAGCTGTTTGTAGCATCTGGTGCAAACGGCTCGCCCTTCACAAAACGATTGTCTTGACGGCCAAGAAAATCGGTGGATGTAACGTTGCAGCTCCGACAAAGCAATTTATGGCTAGACTGGGGTCAGCATAAGCTTAAAACATTCTGTATGCGAGCCATATGACCAGCCAGGCCCGGGGAGTTTAGATCCAGTTGATACCGAATTGGGCCAAATTTTGTGCTCCCATGGGAAGAGGAAGAGGTAGCATCGGGATAGCTGTGCACATGGATCCCATCCCATCCCATACCCCATTCCACACCTCATTCCACTCCTCATTCCCATTCGTCATCCCGTTCTTTACTCTTAGGACACAGCCTATTGTATCTGTTATGCATGCCCTTCACTCGTGCCCTTCAATGTGTCTGGTGCATAAACTGTGTTGATCTGTGGTGACACCGTGCAGCACACATGAGAAGATTTGGCTGAGATGGAAGTTCTCGTCAATTGGATGCCTCGAGAATCACTACCTCCCCCCAGCTGGAGGGAGTAGCTCCTCTCACTGTGTTGCTGCCTGCTGTAACTCACAGGGGGCTGCTGAAAGGAGGTGGCGAAAGAAGCATTTAGGGCAAAGGGTGTTCTTGACACGGAAATATGTCGATCAATTTGAGGCTCAAGTGCGAGCAGCATGCATTAGAGGTTCCCTTTTCTAATGTAGACACAGGCTCACTTCTTCCTTCTTTTTCTCTGTCCTCTGTGCCATGCCATGCCAATGCCAATCAGTTCTTCCACACAGTGTACAGTATTGCACTAGCACCAAAATTTTAGTTGGCAGAAAAGGGCCATTGTCAATGGACTAAAACTGCAGGCACACTACACCACTAAGACTTGGGTCCAAATCATTTGACAATGAACTGGTGCTTTCCTTCCAGAGGCTCAAGTCAAGGCGTCCATCATGCAGCAGCAGCAAAGACATGCGAGGCTGCAAGGCATAAACATCAAGAAACACGTTAGTGTGAGTATTGTACCATCCAATTTTTGCACTCTAAAATGCAAAGAATCATAGCTCTGATACTCACAGGCCAGCACAGAAGTCATCGCAAGCAGTTCCTCTTCGTTCAGTGACCACCACAGCTCCAGGGGGGGGAGGGGGGTAGCCCTGAACTGGATAGCCTTGCGGGGGGTAGCCTTGAGGAGGATAAGATGAGTACCCTCCTGACTGTAGCTTGGGGGAGGAGGTGGCTGGCCATAGTAGAGGACGTTTGTCAGCTCATGAACGCAATCTCAAAACTCAAGGGAGAATCCTGATTCGTACTTTCAGCGTACCATCATCAAATGAAAATACAGATACGTCACTACTTCTGACCTTGGCTCGGTGGTGTGCCGACAGGTGCTGGATAGGTGCTCATGTCGATAGCGGATTGGCGAGGCCTGCTACAAAATCGTTACCGTACGCGTTATAGTTCCCCATGTAAGTTACCATTGACATAATTGCCCTTTTTTTTTTGTAGAGGAGCAGCCGTGTTTTCCAGTATTATATTAATCCATTTGCAGACGGGTTCACCGCGAAATTTCGTCGAGGTGCTGCAAAGTTTTGAGCCGCCACGAAATGCTTTCCGCAGCTGGCTGCAAATCTCGGTATTCGCTCGCGTGTGAGGTGGCGTTCACAGCAAGTTCGCTCAAGCGAAGTAGGCTCAAGAGGCCCAAAAGTGCAGATATTTGGGTCCAGCGTGGCAGTTTTGCCACTGACCACACCCACTCCCCGTGTCATGCGAATGTGGATACACACCTAGACGAGTTTGAGCGAACCTTTAAACCCAATGAGGTCCATGTAACCCCGTCGACTTCAAGATCGTTCATGAGAAGCTTTCGTGAAGTAACCCCAAACACGTGCTACACAAATATCTGTGCACTGTTGTTGAGCGCGGTTCGCTTTGAGCGAACTTGCTGTGAACGCCATCTGAGTGCGTGCTTGCGTGGAGCCATGGCATGATGAGCAATGGAAAGAGAGGGCGGACAGACAAGCAAACAGGATTCGTCGGGAAGCAACTCAGTGGAGTCGGAAAATTGAGGGGCTTCAGGAATTGTACGCGGTAAAAGCCGATTTCACGCGTACACCTCCAGAATATTTGACACACACCGCAACTTCTAGCTGAAACACTGAAGCACTTCACTTGACTGGGGCAGCGATTACGTTGTTCCAGAAATCATTACCGACCTTCTCTTATCAGCACCAGCAGAGCGAATGACAGGCTAAGCCTTGGATTTCTCAAGGAATGCTCAAATGATGCATAAGCATTTGCCAATAGCGACGCCTCAGTTTGCCAGCATCAAACAACAGCTCGCAAGGTTCCGTGCACGTGTAGCAAGCAAGCCGTAGAAAAAGACGTGTCTCAGCGCAGCGACGTATCCGCGTCTGTTTCCGCGTCTGTTCCCGCTTTTCTTCCGCCTTCCTTCCGCCTTCTTTCCCCCCCGGAACGGTGTCGGATGCGGCTAAGCGCAAGGCAGCCGCCAAAATGGCCGCGCAGCTCAACCGCGCCGCGTAGAAGGTCTCCGCGCCTCCCGCGAGTCGTCATTGCCCGTTTTCGTCGCTCGCGCGCTTCGCTCAATTTCCCTTCTTTCCTCATTTCGATTTTCCCCCTTCCCCCTCAGGTTTTCCTCCTTCCCCCCGATAATCCCCCTCCCTCTCCCCTCCCCCCCCGTTCCCTACTGCCGCGCACCAACCTTCCCGCACCAATTTCCGCGCGCCTGTTGCGCGTAACGGTGCGTGCAGATCCGGCTGGTGCTGATGTCATGTTGATCTAGGAGGCCGCGCGAGGCGGAGCGGCGGCGGCAGATGGGCATGGAGATTGAGAGCGGGTGGTCCCGCAACGACATTGGACGCCTTCCTTGAGGCGCGGGAGGGGGTGGAGAGAGGTGCGCTGCAGGGGAGGGGATATGTGGGGGCAGGGCGAGGGTTGGGAGAGGGGGAGGGGGGGGTGTAGAGGTCAGGGAGAGGGTTGGGAGGGGAGGAGGAGGGGGGGGTGTAGAGGTCAGGGAGAGGGTTGGGAGAGGGGGGGGGGTGTAGAGGTCAGGGAGAGGGTTGGGAGAGGGGGGGGGTGTAGAGGTCAGGGAGAGGGTTGGGAGGGGAGGAGGAGGGGGGGGTGTAGAGGTCAGGGAGAGGGTTGGGAGGGGAGGAGAGGGGGGTGTAGAGGTCAGGGAGAGGGTTGGGAGGGGAGGAGGGGGGGGTGTAGAGGTCAGGGAGAGGGCTGGGAGAGGGGGGGGGGGGTGTAGAGGTCAGGGAGAGGGTTGGGAGAGGGGGGGGGGGGGGGGGTGTAGAGGTCAGGGAGAGGGTTGGGAGGAGGAGGGGGTGTAGAGGTCAGGGAGAGGGTTGGGAGAGGGGGGGGGGGTGTAGAGGTCAGGGAGAGGGTTGGGAGAGGGGGGGGGTGTAGAGGTCAGGGAGAGGGTTGGGAGGGGAGGAGGAGGGGGGGGTGTAGAGGTCAGGGAGAGGGTTGGGAGGGGAGGAGAGGGGGGTGTAGAGGTCAGGGAGAGGGTTGGGAGGGGAGGAGGGGGGGGTGTAGAGGTCAGGGAGAGGGTTGGGAGAGGGGGGGGGGGTTGTAGAGGTCAGGGAGAGGGTTGGGAGAGGGGGGGGGGGGGGGTTGTAGAGGTCAGGGAGAGGGTTGGGAGGGGAGGAGGAGGGGTTGTAGAGGTCAGGGAGAGGGTTGGGAGGGGAGGAGGAGGGGGTGTAGAGGTCAGGGAGAGGGTTGGGAGAGGGGGGGGGGTGTAGAGGTCAGGGAGAGGGTTGGGAGAGGGGGGGGGTGTAGAGGTCAGGGAGAGGGTTGGGAGGGGAGGAGGAGGGGGGGGTGTAGAGGTCAGGGAGAGGGTTGGGAGGGGAGGAGAGGGGGGTGTAGAGGTCAGGGAGAGGGTTGGGAGGGGAGGAGGGGGGGGTGTAGAGGTCAGGGAGAGGGTTGGGAGAGGGGGGGGGGGTGTAGAGGTCAGGGAGAGGGTTGGGAGAGGGGGGGGGGTGTAGAGGTCAGGGAGAGGGTTGGGAGAGGGGGGGGGGTGTAGAGGTCAGGGAGAGGGTTGGGAGGGGAGGAGGGGGGGGGTGTAGAGGTCAGGGAGAGGGTTGGGAGGGGAGGAGGGGGGGGTGTAGAGGTCAGGGATAGGGTTGGGAGGGGAGGAGGGGGGGGGTGTAGAGGTCAGGGAGAGGGTTGGGAGAGGGGGGGGGGTGTAGAGGTCAGGGAGAGGGTTGGGAGAGGGGGGGGGGGGGTGTAGAGGTCAGGGAGAGGGTTGGGAGAGGGGGGGGGGGGGTTGTAGAGGTCAGGCAGAGGGTTGGGAGAGGGGGGGGGGGGGGTGTAGAGGTCAGGGAGAGGGTTGGGAGAGGGGGGGGGGTGTAGAGGTCAGGGAGAGGGTTGGGAGAGGGGGGGGGGAGAGGGTTGGGAGGGGGGGGGGGTGTAGAGGTCAGGGAGAGGGTTGGGAGAGGGGGGGGGTGTAGAGGTCAGGCAGAGGGTTGGGAGAGGGGGGGGGTGTAGAGGTCAGGGAGAGGGTTGGGAGAGGGGGGCGGGTGTAGAGGAGAGGTCAGGGAGAGGGTTGGGAAAGGGGGGGGGTGTAGAGGTCAGGGAGAGGGTTGGGAGAGGGGGGGGGGGTGTAGAGGTCAGGGAGAGGGTTGGGAGAGGGGGGGGGGGGGGTGTAGAACCAAAGCGGTGCTCTCACGACGAGATCGCGGTCACCTTCCTTGAAGTGCGCTGGGGGGAGAGGAAAGAGGCGCGCAGAGGGAGTTGAGGTGGGGGGCGGGGAAAGGTGAGGCGAGGGGAGAGGAAGAGGTGGGAGGGAATGGGGGGATTGGTTGTAATAAAAGTGTGGGGGTTGTGCAGCGAGGCGAAGGTGATTGCTAACGGTCGTTTATTGCTAAGCTTTGACCCCTCTTACTTCTCCACTCACTGCACTCGTGTGACATTGATTGCTCAGGCATGCAAACACTGTGCGACACCACCCACCCTTAGCCTCCCTGCCTCTTTCCCTCTGCGCCATTCCGCCTTCCCATCTGTACCATCCCCGCCCTTTTCCCTCTGAATAATCCCCACACTTTCCCCTCTGTACCGTCCCCGCCCCCCCATTCTACTCTGTGCCTCCCATCCCCTTGGTGTGCTGCACCTGCAGGTGTGTGAGGATGTTAACACAACACATAGCACACCGCAGGCCAGCACACCGCATGGTTCTGTAGAAGCTAGTACTGCAACGTCTTGAAACACCCTCGGCCTTTCTCTGCACTCCATGCCCCCCTCTGTGTCCCTCTCCTCCCCCCACCAGATGTGTGACCACTTTGTGCCAGCGGACCGCATGGTGCTTGTTTCTTTAGACATCTCGAGACATCCCCTCTTTTCCCTCTCCTCTGTGTGTGCCCTTTCCACCCCTCCCCTCCCCTACCCCCCAGGTGTGTGAGGACCGCATGCCAGCGGTGGCAGACCACATGGGGCTGCGCAAGCTGCCGCAGGACATGCGCGAGTGGCCGTGACCACGGGTGAGCCATGGGATAAGAGATGATCGTGGGGATGATACGCGACAGCGATGGGGGGCGGGGAGGAGGGGAAGAGGGGATTAGGGAAGTCGGGGGGGATAAAGTGCCAGCGCAGAACATTTGCGAATGGCTGCGTCTACGGGTGAGTGAATGCAGGGGACGAAGGGATAGGCAGGAAATTAGAGGAGTTGGGGGCTCAAAGCGATGTGGACTCCGCCGTAAGAGGCAATTGCCAAATCCTGTTCCCTTTTGTTCCCTACCACCCCTCTCCCCCGACCATCTACCCTTCCGAGAAGGCAGTGGGATCTGGTTGCCAGTGCACCCTCGCTTAAGCCACTCCCTGACCCCTCCCTACCCACCCCAACCCCCTGTGTCCCCACTTTTCTCTCCCCCTTCGCCCGCCCCCTGTCAGGAGGACGCAGCTCCCGAGGAGGCAGTGGAATTCGGTGGCCAGCGCACGGACCCTCTCGCAGACACCCCTTCCGTAAACCTTTTCCTGACAGAGAGGAGAGGGGCGAGCTGCTGGTGGCTTGGGAGAGGAGATGCATATAGGAAGCGAGGCGGGGAGCTTTGCCGTATACATCCACGTTCACAGTGGCAATAGGCTAGGCTGTTGCTTGCGGGCGTCCTCAAATCTGCTGTGCAGGTACGTTCGTTGTAGTGCCAGGTATTTACTGTGGTTGTTCACTATGTGCTGTATGTATGACATATCACATGTATCGAGTAGCGAATGATTGTTTCATATCTCCTCCCTTCTCCCCTCCTCCCTCCCGTTCTTCCCCTCCATTTCCATATCTCTCGTCACCTAATGTGCCTGCCCTTGCATTCTTGCCTCTTAACCTCCCCCATCTCCTTCCACCCCCCCTTGTTCCTCCCCGTTCTTCTCCCTCTCCCACACTCGACTATTGTCCCTTAATGCAAACAGTCTGCTCGGGTGCTCATGCCCGTGCCCCTTGCTGCAAAGCTCTCGTACCCCTTCCACCCACCCCCCCTTTTGCAAGCGTCCTTCCTTCCATCCCCACCCCCCGCCCCCCCTTCCTCCTAACCTCCCTCTCTTTTAACAGCTCCTGTTTATTGGCGCTGACAGTGTGTTGTGTTGCGCTGAGGCAGGAAGAGCAGCTAAGGCGAGGCAAGGAGATGGGAACACGAGAGCATGGGAGCGTGGGAGCATGGGAGCATGAGAGCTTGTACACTCTTTCGAAGCACATGCAGCTGCAGCAGTGCTACCAGCATGGCAAATGTGGGGAGAGAGACGGTGAATTGGACAAGGAGCCGGCCACCCTCCTGGATGGTCATTATCCTCTTCCCCATTATCCCCCTTCACCCGCTGCATGAACCAGCTGTCCCTCCTTACCTCAGGTCTTCATCCTCTGCCCTCCATCACCTTCCCATCTGCTCCCCACCATCCCAGCCAAGTGGCTCCACCGTTGCCATTGCACCCTCAGGCACCACCTCTTCCTCTCCCCCACATCACATTCACCATGACCGCCTGCTGTCAACCAATTCTCTCCCCCACTCCTTCCCCCTCCCCTCCCCTCTTTCCTCCTAAGAAATCAATTTCTTGCACGGCCATGCCCCACCTTATCTTCCCCTTTCCGTATCTCAGTGCAGCTGCGTCTAGCAGTCGCCTTCCCATGATGGCATGGCACGCAGGGAGGTGGGGCTGGTGGAGATTGCAAGCTGGGGGAGTTGGTGGTTGGGGATCGGGCTGAACCAATGTGGCTGGAATGGCCAGAATCAACACTGCAAGTCCAAAGGCGTTCACGGTGTGTTAGCAATGTGTTTTTGTGAGCCACGTAAAGCTATGTGTGTGTGTTTTAGCCAGAAAAGAAGATACCACGTGAGAGCTACATACGCAATCCTCATCGCATGCCTCAATTTATCCTGCGCATTCTACCATGTTACTTCCAAGAAGCATTTTCCAGCCTTGCCAACCTTCGCTCTGTCCCAGTGTAATCCCCTACCTAGATGATTTCCTAGCCATTGCCACCTACTTGCCACCCCCAAGAGAATATCCATGCGTCCCTTTTACCTCCTTCCTGTTGCTTGCCTTGTCCCCCTCCTGCTGCATCACCCGCAATATTTATTCACAGCCATTGCCACTCTGCATATCCTGCTGCCCCTTTCCCCGCTTACTTCCCCATCAGTTCTATGACGGTACATCGGTCGCAAAATGTGGCCTATGCCCCTCCCTCATTGTGTGCAGCATAGGCGAGGATGGGAGTGAGGGAGAACTGAGGCATTGTCTCTCTTCTTTCTGTTCACCCCTTCTCATTGTCACAGCATCATGCTTGCCACTAACACCAAGGAGCACAATGTCTCCTCTAGGTCTTTGATACGGGTACTAATTCTTCGAAAAATGACTGATTTTGTTGTTTTGAGATGTGTGTGTGAGGTGGTGAGGTGATTCATCTGACTTACAATATGATTGGATTGACAACAACTTAATAGTGACTCACATTGCAGGCTGCACCTCAAGCCAAGCGAACCAACCAATCTGACACTGCTCGTGTAACAATCCCAGCAGGCACAAGTTCACCAATAAGCAATTTGCATTTCTTACATGCTGGGTATGCATAGGTTGTGCACTATTTTCCTTCCACACCCCCTGCTTCCATTACACATTTTTCCGCAAAGAACAAATAGAGGCTGCTCACTACTGTGAACACGCAGAGCCTTGCCACTGACAGGCATGGCCATCCATGTGCCCCCCTCCCTCATGCGTCAGTCCCCTTGCCTCATACCAGTCAGCCCACTCTGCCCGCACCTCATCTCCCTCCCACATCACTCCCTGCCAACCTACCGTATCTGCCTATAAGTCTGCATACATCGGCAGCTTCAAGCTATAGAGATCTGTCATCCTGGTGTATACGAAACTGTCATGTAGGTGGGGCGCATTCAGCTGCCAAGGCGTATAGAGATATGTCAGCTTGGTCAGGGCAGTCAGCTGCTGCAGCCCATCATCCTTGACTGCCGTGCCATCCAGATCAAGCCTCTCAAGCCCGGTCAGCCTCACCAGATGCACCATGCCGGCATCTGTCACACCACTGCAATAACCAAGCCGCAGGTCTTTGAGAGAGGACAGGGCCGCCAAATGCGACAGTCCGGCATCGGTCACGTTGGCCTGATGGAGAGAGAGGTCTGTGAGACTGGTCAAGGACCCAATGCCTTCCAAGGCACTGTCCGAGAAATCAGTGTAATCGAAGTTTAGCTTCTCTAAGTGAGGCAGCCTGTAGAGTTGCGTGATGCCCTCTGCACTGAAGCCTGAGCTGTTTTCAAAGTCAATGCTTGTCAGGTGGGTCATTGTGGACACATGGACGAGCATGGCATCTGAGAGGCAGCGGAGACCCGCCAGGCTCAGATCGGACTTCTTTAATGCTGCCCTGATTGCCTGGAAGAAAGGAGCGAAGAGAAAACATAGCAAGGGAATGGGTGACCATGGTGATACGGAAGGGCTGGCAAGCAATGTATGATCTGTGGTACAGGCCATTCAGCACTCACCTGCCATGCAGTCTTTTTATCGCCCACACTCCGCTTGATCCTCCGTTTAACATTCACCTTCACGTCTTGTACCTTCTGAGATTCCTTGCCGGCTGCCAATTCCTCCATGGCTCGTGGCATGTTTAACTCCTGCACCTCTTTCTTCCTCTCCTCTTCCCATGGAAACTCTGCTACCATTTCGTGCCTTCTCTTTTTACTCTTCCCCTTTAGGCCTCCTGCATCTGATTCCCTGGTACTATCAGCCCATTGCTCTGCCATAGTGCCCTTTTGTTCCGCCAACTCCTTTTTCACTGCTGTCAACATGTGCCGCAACTCATCCACCTCCTCCTTGTGTGCAGCCAGCTCCTCTCTCACTGCTGCCTGCACCGCCTCTTTGATCAACTCATGCAGTCCACTCAGCACTCTCTCAGCAGCCATATCGTCCACTCACTCCCCTCAAACAGCCTCGTTCAATGGCTGGCTGATTTTTGCGCCCCACTGCCTTTTTCACTGCAGACTTGTGAAAGCAGTCACGCGCAACCTGAGTAGGGCAGTATTGAGCGTCTTGCAAGAAAACAGAAATGCACGAAGAAAAGAGGGTAAAAGCGCATAGTGAGTGCACACACAGCTTGTGTGACACAAGCACGACCAATCACATGGGCGTGATGGATGAGGCAGTGATGCGCGGAAGAGAGGAGGTAAGGAGCAGAAAGAGAGGGGGACTTGATGAGAAGATGTGAGAAGAATTGAGTGAGATGAAGCAAGCAGAAGGTAGAAAGCACATGTCTGGATCAAGCAGTGAGGAGAAGACTGTCCACACTCACTCATGCATTTGGCATGAATTCAGACGCCAGTGGAACAAACCAGCAGAGGCCAAAAGGTGAAAGTGAAGACAAGATGTCAGGACAGGCAAGAAAGGCCAGCAGGGACTAATAAAAAGGGACACTGCAAACATTGCACCAAGTGGGAAACGTGCAGTGGGAGAAGGGTGGGGAGCTGCAGGGACTGCATAGGGCGGTTTACATTGGAGAGGCATACAGAGGGCTCACTGGCTGGTGCCCAGAGGGCTGGTGCACAGGTACACAGGTGCAGTAGTGTCAGTCACATAAATATGAGCTGAACGAGCAGAGCAGAAAGAGTGACCTACGTACAATGTAGGCGAGAGAGAGTTCTAGCTCTGAGGGAAGCTGGGGCGAGCACACAACGAGGGGATCTGAGCTGAGAGTACAGGGCAAGGGAGAACATAACAGGGAGTGAATGCCATAGTATGAGTAAGCAAAGGGCTGAGCGTAGGCTTGGCCGTTTGAGGTGCTCTTTGAGCCGAAACAAAAGATTACTGACGTCGACTTGCGACATGGCTTGTAATTCAGCTCAGCTCTCAAGGAGCTGATTGGCTTGAAACGATCGGGCTGACCACACTCTTTCCAAGCCACATCGGATACATTCAAAACCTCCTTCTCTCATAGCTCCTACGTTGGCTGAGGTTGGTAAGGAGCGTGAGACACGCAAAATCACCCAACAGCAGGAGGAGGTGGAGTTGGGATGGCTCACGGGCCACAAACTAGGTCAAATGCAGGTTAGGTCAGACGCAACCTATGCGACTCAGAATATAGGTTGATAACAAGCTAGGCCACTCACAG